TTTACAAAAAAAAAGATAAAGATACATTAATGAATATCTTAGCTAGCTGTAGCTTACAGTGGTACTAGTCTAACTTACTCTGGGCTTGCATGGGGCATATAAAAACAATTACAGGTGGGTCGCCACTAGCGACACTAGCCCGTGTGCAAGCCCACCGAGGGAAGAATAGTGGACTAGGTCGCCACCAACCTATATAAACAGGCTTTGTGATTGGTTGATAAAAAACAATGAAGTATAGAAATTACCATAAATGCTCATCACTAATGCTTTATGGAGCCAATTGGAAAATGCAATCGGCTGCATGGGCAAGTACAAAAGTTGCTTCTTGGTTGCCTGATCAGAAAAGTTTATTACATGATAGATTGACAGTAATTGAAGAAATTTCATTATTGCACAAAATCAATTCTGTATTATCTAAGTGATGAACAGTGTAGATTTTTTATCAATGCTTCTGACTTTGGTTGACTTTAGTTGACCAAAATCAAAATACTTTGTTATATTAATGGAAAAGGTTTGTGCTTAAGACTTTCATGTTAATGTATCTTTCAAGTCAGGCTAGTAATTATGACCCATTGTTGGTGATGCTGTGTGTTATAAACATCAGCCACACTGCGCTATCCATTGAGTGGCAGCACTCTCCCCCTGACAAGTAAAATCGTCTGGCATTAGACAGAGTAAAATAATAAAGTAGGGCGCATCTGGGCGCTTTGCCACTTAAAGGGTTAACAGAGTGCATAGGCAGATAGTCAGGAGAAAGGAGGGACTGGCGACAACACATCAAGACACAAAATATGCGTTGCCCACACAACACAAAATTCCCATTGGTCAAAATCGATATGCCTGTCAAATAAATCTGATATGTAGTAATAATGCTATAAATAATTTCCAGACTTGAATGTTGATTTTAGAAATAAACATGACAGGCTTAAATGAGTGGCTTTTAATTGGATTAAACTAATGTTATGCAAAGGCAGAACCAACTTGACAAGAGCAAAAAGTGGGCATATTTCATTTCTTGATGAGTTGTCGGATGAGTTCTCTCGAGGGAGTGACTAGTGACTAACACTAGTCCAGAGCCCTTCTTACGTGCGGTGCGATGAGGGGTTCTGGCCAAATCCATAACCGGATACCATAAAAACATGGTAATAGAATATAACCGGTACTGATTAAACGTAGACTCTAGGTGGTTGTCCTTCAGTAGCATTGTGTTTGATGAAAGGTTGTTCAATTGAGGCCAATGAGCTACTGTTTGAAACGGCTAGCATGTAAAACGTATTTTAAATTACAACATTTAATAAGATTCTTATTAAATGTTGTAATTTCAAATACGTTTTACATACTAGCCGTTTCAAACAGTAGCTCATTGGCCTCAATTGAACAACCTTTCATAACCGGTACCGGAACAACAACCTTTGTTGTGGCCAATCAGATGCCAGTTTCATATGGATTTGGCCAGAGCCCCTCGTCGCACCGCATGTAAGAAGGGCTCTGGGTACGAGAATGGCAGTCGGTCCAGACTAGTATAGGCAACAACGATAACAAACAGCTGTGTTGGATACAGCTACTTGAAAAATATAATTATGCAAACTTTGACATTTCGTGGGAAGGCCTCTTGTTGGCTGGGCCTAATAGCTTGAAACGTCGAAGTTCTGCTAATTGTATTTTTCAGCTAGTTGTATCTCAATCACGCCACAGCTGTTTAGCCATATTGGCAGCACCTTAATTTGGTGGCTGCAAAAACCTCCACGTAATCAGTATGTATATTTATCAGCAATTTGTCATCAAAACATGTCATAATTTGACACATGTAGGTGTAAAATTGTATTAAATTGTAACATATCATTGATAACAAGAAAAATGTTGCAATTTACTTTAAACTTTAAAAACAATTAACTCACATCAAAACTGTGCAGACTTGCTTGATATCAAACGTTTTACAACTCTACTTGTAATAAAAATAGCGAAATGCATATTTTAGCCAGAACGGAAGTAGTCACGCAAGAGTGCAATGCAAGACGCCATCACCATGACACCAAATCATTTTCCAATACGATCATATTTCATTTTGTACGAATTTGTGTCCAAAGTACAGAAGTTATTTGAATTTTATTAAAATCAAACATGGTGCATATTTATCGTTTAAAATATGCACCAAACCACATATTGGAAAGCGGTGTCGGCAGACACTTGACTTCACTGCCAAACAACATTGTTAGCAAAACTGATTAACCAAAATAAACATGGCCAAAAGCCTTGTATCTTTTCATTACGGCTCCACAATAACCTTCCAGCCAGTTATTTGGCTGCAATGTAATAGGTTTATACCATAGGCGGACAATAGTGCCTCATAATCATTTACTGAAAAAGTAAACATTACATAAACCTACGAAATTATCAGGCGTTTGGTCTTTTGTAAATCCGTAATGATGATCGCTGCAAACTCACGCTATGCTGCTATCGAAATTATGAGCCGGAAATTTTTTATCATGAACTTACTTTTTGTAAAAATTAAACCTTACCTGCGAATTAAACGAATTGGTTTTCTTTAAACTCCCCCTACGTTGTGAATTCAACTCATTTCCCAAATGATTTTTCTCGCGTGCGAGTCGTCTCAAATCTGCCTCTTTGGCAGCGAGTTGGTGGTTTTTTAATTCAACCTCTCTCGACACGGCTTTCAATTGCCTGAACTCTTTCAAAGATTCCCTCTTCGATTCCCTAGTGAGTCTCCGTATTTCTGAATCATGCTCTTGTTTCATCTTTCGTACGAGTTCAGCTTTTTCGGAATCAGCCTCAGATTTAATCCTTAAACTCTCCTCTAACCGTCTCTTGTCGTTTCGTAAAGAGCTAACTTCACTTTTCCATCGTCTTTCCATCTCGTTCGGTTCGCCCCGGGATTGCTCGCTAATAATTCGTTTATTCTCCAATTCTAAAATCCTTGTAGTGTTCTTAGTTTCTTGTAATTCCAACTTCAATGCACGCATTTCTTCGTCCTTAACTCGCAAGACTTGGCGAAGCTCGTTCTCTTTCTGCCTCGAAACAGATTCCTTCATTTTTTTCAGCTCGTATGCTTTGTCGCTTTCCAGTTTCTTGGAAACATTTTCAATGGCTTTTTGCTTCTCGTTATCCAAATTTTCCTGCAACCGTTTGATTTCCTCGGACTTATCTCGATGTGCTCGTTTCACGCGATTTTTTTGTTCAGCCAGCTCAGATTTTAGCTTGGAAACATACCGTCTCATTTCCTCCTGGTTGCTCCATAAACTACCCGATCCGCCCTGATGATTTTGTGGGGAGTTTTCTCCCCCATGGGAGCTCTCTTTCGCCATTGGGATCCTTGAAGCCATAGAAAAATTCAGGCTATGAAATCCCCTTTGCAAACCGTATTTGCTATCGTGAAATCTGACAACTGCATAATTTCTGAACCACGTCGATTTCAGCTCTAAAATTGCAGCATTCTACTCCTTTGCGTGCAAATGAATGATACACGAGAACAAATACAGTCATTTTGATGCTCTGTTTATTTAAAACACTTTTAAATCAGTTTAAATCAAGCTTATTATGCTTGAAAATTTAAAACCTTGTATATTTACAACCCTTCTGGATGACGGCAGCTTTACTCACATTTGATTATTCGCAGACTTCCTAATAAGGAATGTATTACCATATTTGGAAGGCTCGAACTTGTCGATTTCATTGAAATTTACATATCGGCTTACAAATATAAACTGAAAATTGCTTGGAGAATTAAGTGTATTTTTGCTAAAGAATTTGTACGAAATGACTGAAAACGTGTTTTTGTTTGTACCTAATTTGATAGGTAAGTAAAATAATTAGAAATTCCGTTTGTTAGAATGCAAATTTACATTGAAACTCATTCTAATTCCCAATGCAATTTGGGATTGCCCGCCATTATCATGGTTAATGATTAATTTACAGATGAAATTCTTAATTTGTTATAATCATCAAGAAGAAACCTGTTTAATGGTTATAAAGTGTAGAGAAAAAATACCAATAAACATTTTTCTGCAAACGTTCTTGCTGTAATTTTCGAATTCTTGCTGGGGTCATCTGCAGACATATTTTACCTCCAATTTATAATAAACTAAATATAAATAGCTTGTAGAAAACACCATGTATATTTATTTTTGCAAAACTTTTGATCCATAAGCCCAGATCTTCAGTGCTAATGATAAGCTTTAAATATACCTAGTGTTTTCAAGCCGAAGAGATACATTGTTTTATGTTATTTTAATCTTTCGAAGAACTTAATAGTGCAGATTAGTTAATAATTGATGGCTGTGGAGTATTCCATTTAATATTACACCCTAATCTCCTTGTGGGCAAAATAAAAAATATTTGGTTTCAGGTTTCTGACCAGGGACGCCGGAACGATAATAGGGCAAAGGGGGGCGGACGCACACCAAGGGCACCTTTACTGAAAAATTTTTTTTCACTGCAAAATTTTTTTTTTCACTGCAAAAAAAATTCGGTCAGTGTACCATTTTAGGGGTCAAAACTTTTTTCCGGACATACAAAAAATTTCCATGAAGCCAAAAATTTTTCCGGATATCTTAAATTTTCGCCATTTCTTCAAAATATTTTTCTAAATTCCAAAAATTTCCCAAAATTTTTATAAATATAAACTATAAATTACCTGAATCTCGTCATTTTCCTACAAAAAGCATCGTTGGAAATGTGATTTATCACGTATTATTTTACAACTAAAAGGGCACTTCTGCCCCCCCTGCCCCCCCTAGCAAAAGGCAAGGGGGGCAGCCGCCCCCCCTGCCCCCCCAGTTCCGGCGTCCCTGGCTATATGTTCTTGATTTTACAACATTTAGCAACCAATCTTTGCAGTTCTACTCATTCTAAGACGCTCTTTCTAGCTGTGGTGTTGGATTTTGTTCTTCTTGCCTTGATCAAAATTTAGTCTGCAGCTAGAATCGCCCATTTGGATGCTAATATTATGCTAATATTATGTGTATTATTAATGCTATTATTAAATGTGTCAATACGAACAACCACCCGGACGACTAGAAACGCTGACCCTGTCAATGGTGTTCTTCTTAATGTATCTCGATGCAGGACAGTTAGCTACAAGAACAATTTCTATGTGAGAGTGCCTAGCGTATGGAACATTCTCCCTAGCAATATTCGTGACACTTCAAGATCATTAGCTTACTTTAAAATCTCTTTATTCAATTACTACTTAAACCTTTTAGAACAAATATACAACCCGGACAATCCTAGAACATTTAAGTCCGTGTGCGTCAAATGCCACTCAACTCGGTCTCTTGATAGTTTATTAGTGAGGACATCTTGTTGACATTTTAGCATAATTTGTTTTAATGTTATATATTGTAACTTATTGTGAGGGGCCCCATAATTGGAGATTATCTCTGTGGCTAGTCCCTGCCCGAATTGTATGTAAATTTTGTAAAGTATTAGTCTTATTTATGTCTGTTATGTTTGGCGAATCTTGTAAAATTAAAATTAAAATTAAAATTAAATGAAAATTAAAATTCTTCCTTCCATAAATTGAGAGATCTCGATGTATTGTGTTTTAGAAAACCAGGAGTGTCCAGTAAAGGAATGTATAAAGTAAAGAAGGAATTTCTAGCCGAGTTCAACCCGTTCTTTTATCATTATGACACGAATGAGCGGTCCAAGGTACATATAGTAATTACGTATAAGTTTGTAAAACCCACATGCACGATATTTTATTTATGGCATGGAATCCGGCCGGACATAATTCTACTTTCTTACTAACTTGCATATCATCGATTCATAACCCGTTGGAAATGGCTTACAGGTAAACTTAGCCTGCGTGCAGGCCCAAGGGAACTGATACTATCAGTTCCCTTGGGCCTGCACGCAGGCTAAGGTAAACTACGTGAAGCGTTCCTATTTTGATTTCGTAACTCATTTGGAGTTTTCCTCATTAGCTTTGCAAATTTGAAAAACTTTTTGCAAATCCCTTGAGGGAAATTGCAATGTTCCTATCGGCTGTTGCAATATTCCAATGTAAACAAACTTCATTTAAAATTTCCCTAACCTCCTGTTTTAATTTCCTAACTTCCTGTTCTGTTGCAAGCGTTGTTATTGGTCGATTATTTTTGTTGGCCAATTGCAACGCGCACTGAAACAGAACAGGGAGTTAGGAACTTGTAACAGGAAGTTAAGAACTTCGAACAGGAACTGAGGAAAATTTAAATGACTTTTAGCAACATTGCAAAGTTCCTCAAGGGATTTGCAAGGGAGTTTTTTAAATTGAAAAGGTAATGAGGAAAATTCCAATCAACTTAAAAACTCAAAAGAGTAAGGGTAAATAACAGTAAATTATTTTAAAAAAATAACAGTAAATTATATCGCGATGCTGTAAATCCCAAAATCAGAGAATGCGGTAGGTCGTTTGCAATTTGCCTCAATTGATGATTCCATGCTATAGACTAAATTTTGATAAGGCAAGAAGAACAAAATCTAATACCACAGCTAGAAAGAGCGTCTTAGAATGAGTAAAACTGCAAAGATTGGTTGCTAAATGTCGTAAAATGAAGAAAATATAGCCATGTGAAGTTCGCAAATTTTGTATATATTTGTATTACGCGCGTTAAAAATAACCACTTTCGACTCAAACTTTATTTTGCAGCCAGCGATTTAGGCAAGTTTGCAAACGACCTACTTTATTAATTTTCAGTTTTTCCGATAAACAACGTTGCGTTATATAATTCACTGTTTATACTGTTGAAGCCATATTTCAACGTGCAGTATATATATTGTATAATCTCTGTTCACTTTAATATTCAGGCTGAAGATCATCTCAAAAAGCGATGTAAAGAGGAAGAAATCCCCGCGGGTATGTATAAAGATAGACGAGATCACCATGATTGCATCATTCCAGATGAACGACAAGAGATGATTAAGTCTGGTTTCCATATGATCGTAACGGTCGTAAAGATTGAGTCACGATCTTTCTCATCGACCGAAATACAACATTTTAGAACTGAAAATACGCGGAGTGATTATAACTAGAGAATACTTATGATTTATATGTGGTTTACAGGTATAAACTATTATAAACTGGCCGTTGAGAAAGATCGATATTTTTACGACCACTACGAAACCAGGCTTTACAGGAGAAGTAAAATACATCTCCCAAATAGACCTTTCCCCTTATAACTAAAATTTTGATCTAGACAAGTCTAGACAAAATTTTATCACAGCTTGAAAGAGCATCACAAAATTAGTAATATTCCAAAGTTTCGTTGCGAAATATTGTAAAAAGCGCATAATATAGCCCCGCGAAATTTGCAATTTTCAGTCATTTTGTATTGCAAACGGGAAATTGATGCCCCAACACCCGATTGGGCTGTCAATTTCCCATGCGCAATACAAAATGACTGAAAAATGGCAAATTTCGCAAGGTTATATTATCCGCATTTTACAACATTTCGCAACGAAACTTTGGAATATTACTAATTTTGTGATGCTCTTTCAAGCTGTGATGAAATTTTTGTCCAGATCAAAATTTTAGTTCTAAGAGGAAAGGTCCATTTCTATATTATCTGTTAAAAGATTGTTTACCTTTAAATCCTTGCTCAAGAAAAATTGGGTACCAGATAAGTGTTGCGAGGATGTCATGTAGCCTAAAATATATATTTGTCTGTTTTTAGTACGTAAAACCATGTCAGATGACTTGCATTTCAAAAATGTCAATTTAGCCCAGCTGGCAGGCCATGAGAACGTGACGTTCCTTAACTCCGGTCTGAATGTCACAGGCTAACTGAAATTCCCAATTTCATTAAATTGTCGAATTTTTTAATCTTTTGCAGGCTAACACCCTGAAAAGATCCGTTGACATGCACCCCCCCCCCCTGAACACATAGAGCGACTGGGATCGAGGCAGGGTGAAACGCATCTCTACAAATATTTTCGTTGTTTTCTTTAGTTTTCTCTCCGCCAGTCCCCACCGAGTTCCTAGCGACCTACTCCAGTATCGTTGATCTACTCACTTCGAAGAAAATGATTGAACTGCTTACTGTACTTCTTTGGAGGATAACAAACAGCAACCCAAAATCCTGGACTGATAGAATTGTTCATGAGGTATGTTATACTTCACTGCATAGCTCTATCAGTTCTAAACTGTTCTCTCTAAAGGTCCAGTAAGGATCATCTCTTATTGATCCAGTGTTACTACAGGAGGAAACCTAAACTAAACTAAACTAACGTTATTTATACTGGATAGCTCTATTAGTTCTAAACTGTTCTCCCTAGAGGTCCAGTAAGGATCATCTCTTATTGATCCAGTGTTACTACAGGAGGAAACCTAAATTAAACTAAACCAACTTTATTTATACTGCATGGATAGTTCTATCAGTTCTAAACTGTTCTCCTTAGAGGTCCAGTGAGGATCATCTCTTATTGATCCAGTGTTACTACAGGAGGAAACCTAAACTAAACTAACGTTATTTATACTGGATATAGCTCTATCAGTTCTAAACTGTTCTCCCGAGAGGTCCAGTAAGGATCATCTCTTATTGATGCAGTGTTACTACAGGAGGAAACCTAAACTAAACTAACTTCATTTATACTGGATAGTTCTATCAGTTCTAAACTGTTCTCCCTGTCTTTTACGGATATAGGTAAAAGAATAATGCTTATTTTATTTTTAAAGGTTTTGCATCTAATTGGCTTAGCGTTACACGAAGAAACCCGACAAAGAAACAAAGGAGAATCATTTGGTTTCGTTAGTGCCGCTACAAAACGTAGCAATCATGGTTAGTATTCTATTACATTACATTACTACAGTACACATGCCAAAATCTCACATCCTGTAACAAGTCTGCCAACAAGCCGTCAACAAGATAAGATGTGTTCGCACTGCTTGTCCCAAGTTGTCAACAAGTTTGGAACAAGCTGTTAACAACTTGTAACAACCTTGTTGATATTGTCAGACTTGTTGCAAGGTTGTTGCAACAAGTCCGATACAGTCATGATATAACAATATTGTCACAACCTTGTGTCATCAACCTTGTAACATTCTTGTTATATCATGACTGTATCAGACTTGTTAGAACAACTTTGCTACAAGTCTGATAATGCCATCAAGCTTGTTACAAGTTGTTACAACGACTGGGAACAAGCAGTGCGAACACAACTTGTCGACAGCTTGTGAACAGATTTGTAACAACTTGTTTGCAGACCTGTAACAACTTGTGCGTGTTTGCGTGTGTACTGCAATTTAGAACTGCCAGAGTTATCCAGTATAAATAAAGTTAGTTTAGTTTAGGTTTCCTTCTGTAGTAACACTGGATCAATAAGAGATGATCCTTACTGGACCTCTAGCAATAACAGTTTAGAACTGATAGAGTTATCCAGAGTAAATAAAGTTAGTTTAAGTTTCCTCCTGTAGTAATACTGGATCAATAAGAGATGATCCTTGCTGGACCTCTAGGGAGAACAGTTTAGAACTGATAAAACTATCCGGTATATTAATAAAACACAAAACAATAGACACTCCGAAAATTGTAAACATTTTAATTCTTATTATCCGGTATAAAAAAAGTTAGTTTAGGTTTTCTCCTGTAGTAACGCTGGATCAGTAAGAGATGATCCTTACTGGACATCAGAGAACAGTTTAGAACTGGTAGGGCCATCCAGTCGAAGTAGAGTTAGCTTACTTTATTATTTGGTTCCTTTAAATATATTTTCAGATCTCAACCATTATTCTCTGTTCCGATGCCTGGAAGCTTTGCAAGGCAATGCAATTATCGAAGCGCATAGTGGGCTTCTTGCGTGGGTTATTAAGGTATGGAAAATACTAACAGACTAGCGAGGACAACACCCGTAAAAATCTCACATCTTGTAGCAAAGTCTGCTAACAAGCCGTCAACAAGTTGTGTTCGCACTGCTTGTCCCAAGTTGTCAACGAGTTTGGAACAAGCTGTTAACAACTTGTAACAACCTTGTTGATATCATCAGACTTGTTGCCAAGTTGTCCCAACAAGTCTGATCCAGTCATGATATAACAATATTGTTACAACCTTGTCAGAACAACCTTGTGATATTTTTTGCTTGCTAAAGACCAGCTTGCTACAAGCCTGTTGCGAACACACCTTGTTGACAAGTTCTGAGATTTTTACGTGTTCAATACACCTATAATCAATTCACATTTTTTCACATGCTTTTAAAATGTCCTGATAATGTGGATACATACGCTAGAGCCGAATAGCTCTTTTCACAACGACTTTGTCTTTGAAAGAAGATATTTCCCATTTTAGAAATTCAACGAGGAGCAGCCAGCCCAAAGTGATTCTGACGAAAGAGTCATGCCATCGGTCGAAAACTCTCCACCAATGGACGTCTCTGATACTGTGCCACATGACAAAGAGAAAGTTCAAAGACAACGGCTGGCTCATGAGAGACGGGATAGAATCCTACTACAAATGTCGAACATGCAGAAAGCTTTTATCAGACAGAATTCTGATCTGTATTTGTCAACGATAACAGAGTAAGTACGAAAATGAGGGCCAGTGTTAATTCAGAAGAAACATTTACTATATAACTTTGCTCATATATTCTCCCTAGCGATCCAGGTTCACACGTAAAAACGCACAATTTGTTACAAGTCTGCAAACAAGTTTTTACAAATCTGTTCACAAGCTATAAAGTTTGTTCGTTCACTGCAACCAGGTATATCAATCATGTTTCGCTCGCTACTCTGGCTTAAATAAATGATTACAAAGCCCAGTCGAATTGTAATCAAGACCCAACGTTTCGACACTCCAGTCTAGTGTCTTTATCAGGGGTGATCTAAAACTGCGATCGTGGCTTCTTAAATACCCAAGGGATGACGTCACCTGCCAAGAAGATGCATATATTCCTCTGACAAATAGGCCCCGTCATCCCTATTCAAAGCATGATGACTCATATTTATATGCCACGCTTCTAGGCAAAGTCTTTGACCATAGCGATTGTTTGTGGTAATTACTTTAGAGTTTTCCCACGCAATCTCGTGTTTGGTGTAACATACATGTTCGGCTAAAGCTGATTTTCCCTTGTTGTGTTCGCACTGCTTGTTCCCAGTTGTTGTGACAAGTTTGGAACAAGCTGTTAACAACTTGTAACAAGCTTGATGGCATTATCGGACTTGTTACAAGGTTGTTCTAACAAGTCTGATACAGTCATGATATAACAAGAATGTTACAAGGTTGACGACACAAGGTTGTAACAATATTGTTATATCATAACTGTATGTATCGGACTTGTTGGAACAACCTTGCAACAAGACTGATAATATCAACAAGGTGGTTACAACTGTTAACAGCTTGTTCCAAACTTGTTGACAACTTGGACAATGTCTGTGACCAACCGAAAGCCTGCAAATCGCAACCAACCTGTTCTCAACCGCAAAAAATATTTTATTTGTTTAGTTTGGACGATACCGCCATGGATGAAACTGATTTGGAAGTGACGTCAGGCTCGGAACAGACCGTCATAGCGATCGGAAACAATCATAGCCCGCCGGTGACCTTTCCTCGCGAACAATTCATTTGTATCTTATGTCAAGAGAACCCTAGCTCGAGCGAAAGACCGCTTGTCTATTCTGCATACGTACAGCGTTCGACGCTATTGTCTGACAACCATAACCGCACCCTTGACGAAGGGGATAAAGCGGACCCTCTGGTATCATATAGAGATCAGCGCGTGGGGACACACGTGGGTAGTTGTGGTCACGTGATGCACGGTGATTGCTGGCAACGGTTTTTCGAATCGATATTAGCCAATGACCGCCTGTCCCTGAGATTTCGAATACGAAATGCATTTGATTTGACGAAAAAGGAATTTATATGCCCGTTATGTTCGGGTCTGGGCAATACTGTTCTACCAATTGTGTGTGCCGACGTCACAGCAGAGCAAAACAGGTATGGTGAACATTATAGACGGAAATTTTGATTTATAATTTTGAAATTATCAATAGACAATTAACTTGCATGTTAGACTAAGTTTTGATCCAGGCAAAAAAAGTAAATTCTCGTAGAAAGAACTTATTAAAAAATTTGGTTACGAAATTTTGTAAAATACGGAAAATATAATCTTGCGAAGTTTGCATATTTTGTATATGTGTTTATTATATAGTAGAGAGTGAGATACTAAAAAATACACAGTGAGTTATTTTCCATATCTTCACTAGTGAAGATATCGATCACGTGACTTTTTCCAATTTGCTTTTGAGCGTGAAATTTCACAATTTTTTGCTTGGGACTATATAATAAACAGAACATTACACGGTGGCTTGAAGATATGACTTTTATCTTCTCGTGTTAAAAACAATATTTTACTCACTCGTTCGTAAAATATTGTTTTCACCACTCGAAGATAAATGTCATATGTTTGCGCCGCCATGTAATATCCTCTATGTATTACGCGCGGAAATTGTTACCATTTTTGAGCCGAAAATGGTAACAATTTCCGCACGTAATACAAACATATACAAAGTTTGCAAACTTTGCAAGGCTATATTTTCCAAGCTTTACAACATTTCGCAACCAAATTTTGCAATTTTACTAGTTTCATCATGTTCTTTTTAGCTATAGTGTTTGATTCCTTTCTCTTTACTTTGATTAAAATTTAGTCTAACGTGGAAGATGTCCATTGAACGTTTTATACAGTGTGTGTTTATTTTTTAGCGAACCTACTACAGCAGCGAACTACATCTCGTGGTTCGTCTCATTCCGAAAGATCGAATCAAAACTCAGCAAGGATTTAATGGAACTTAGTCGGAATCGGGGTCAGAAAGGTAAATTTCCAGGGAAAAGATTCATTTGCATGCATACATTAACAAAGTCCTGAAATTCAGCTAAGTCATGTATTTTATTTTAGGCTCTTTGTGCAAGTCTCTAAAAGAGAAAATTGTTCCTCTTTTTTTTGGGTGAGTTTCGTTTATTGATGATGTTAGTTTCCTCCTGTAGCAACACTGGATCAATAAGAGATGATTCTTACTGGATCTCTAGGAAGAACAGTTTAGAACGGATAGAGCTATCCAGTATAAATAAAGTTAGTTCAGTTTAGGTTTCCTCTTGTAGTATCACTGGATCAATAAGGGATGATCTTTACTGGACCTCAAGGAAGAACAGTTTGGAACTGATAGAGCTATCCAGTATAAATAAAGTTAGTTTAGTTCAGGTTTCCTCCTGACGTAACACTGGATCAATAAGAGATGATCCTTACTGCACCTCTAGGAAGAACAGTTTAGAACTGATAGAGCTATCCAGTATAAATAAAGTTAGTTTAGTTTAGGTTTCCTCCTGTAGTAACACTGGATCAATAAGAGATGATCCTTACTGGACCTCAAGGAAGAACAGTTTAGAACTGATAGAGATATCCAGTATAAATAAAGTTAGTTTAGTTTAGGTTTCCTCCTGTAGTAACACTGGATCAATAAGAGATGATCCTTACTGGACCTCCAGGGAGAACAGTCTAGAACTGATAGAGCTATCCAGTATACAGTTAATTCAGTTTTAATGGTTTCCTCCTGTAGTAACAATGGACCATCAAAGCACGACCCCTGCTGAACGGCCGATATAGTACTTCGGTTTTGAAAGTGATGATTTTTAATTTAGGACGGAGTTGTCGACTATGGAATCAATGATAACAGTTTTCACTCGAGCTGCATTCACGGTAATTGTTTCAAATATATTTTGTTATTTTCTGTTGTATTTCCTGACCTCGCTCCACATAAACTTACATAAAACTGAGATATTTTCTCTTGTTTGTTATTTGTCAGTTTGGTTTAAATGTGCAGCCACATGATGACGACTGCAGAGTTCCGTTAATGGTTTGGGCTACCTGTGCTTATACTGTGCAGTGCTTTGGTATGTTAAGAAATTGTATTATTATTATTATTATTATATTACAGGTAAACTACGTAAAGCGTTCCTCTTTTTGAGTTTGTAAATTGATTGCAATTTTCCTCATTACTTTTGCAATTTAAAAAACTCCCTTGCAAATCCCGTGAGGAAATTTGCAATGTTGCTAAAAGCCAATTAAATTTTCCTCAGTTCCTGTTAGAAGTTCTTAACTTCCTGTTACAAGTTCCTAACTTCCTGTTCTGTTCTGGGCGTTGCAATTGGCTAACAAAAATAATCGACCAATAACAACGCTCAGAACAGAACAGGAAGTTAAGAAATTAAAACAGGAAGTTAGGAAAATTTAAAATGAAGTTTGGAATATTGCAACAGCCGATAGGAACATTGCAAATTCCCTCAAGGGATTTGCAAAGAGTTTTTCAAATTTGCAAAGCTAATGAGGAAAATTCCAAATGAGTTACGAAGTCAAAAGAGGAACGCTTCACGTAGTTTACCTGTAAGTTGTTTTTTGTTTGTTTTATTGTTCTTCTAGATTATTACAAAATTAAATAAGTTTTGTCTGACGTTTCGGTCTCCTATACGAAAACCATTTTCGAAGACTTGAACGTTCGTTTGTTCATTTTATCCGTTCAAGTCTTCGAAAATGGTTTTCGTATAGGAAACCGAAACGTCAGACAAAACTTATTTAATTTTGTAATAATCTATAGAAGAACAATAAAACAAACAAAAAATTAATGAACCTGGATTCAAACCTTTTTACGAATATTAAGTTGTATAGCGCAAATTCAACAGTCGTTTTCATATGCGCTTTACGTTAAATATGTAAAATACTGGAAATATTACAAATGCCACTACAGGCTGAACAAAATGAAATCCTAATTTTACACGCGCTAATTGACCATTTGCGTAATAGACTAAATTTTGATCTAAACAAGTCTAGACAAAAATTTCATCACAGCTTGAAAGAGCATCACAAAATTAGTAATATTCCAAAGTTTCGTTGCGAAATGTTGTAAAATGCGGATAATATAGCCTTGCAAAGTTTGTAATTTTCAGTCATTTTAGATTACAAACGGGAAATTGACAGCCCCAAAGGGTATTGGGCTGTCAATTTCCCGTTTGTGATCTAAAATGACTGAAAATTGCAAACTTCGCAAGGCTATATTATCCGCATTTTACAACATTTCGCAACGAAACTTTGGAATATTACTAATTTTGTGATGCTCTTTCAAGCTGTGATGAAATTTTTGTCTAGATCAAAATTTAGTCTGTTACGCAAGTGGTCAATTGTGATACGCCTTCTTAAGAAGGTACCTTTTTAAGGTCCAGACACACTGGACGCGATTCGAGAACGCGACGCGATTTTTCGATTTTCACTGACCACTGTCTCCAAGTGTAGGCGACGTTTTTACTTCCAGAGGTTTAACTGGCATCTTTTTGTTAGATCACATGTACTGTAATAGTCACTCTGCAACAGCTAACTGTAAAATTATTTTTCTAAAGAACATGGCTCCAGGGAAGAATCGAAAGGCATAGTGACCAGACATTCTAGACGTGAGGTAGGGTTCGATTCCTAGAATATGCCAGGGGTGTATGTTCATCTATAACACCCAGGGAAGAAAATCAAAGAATAGTAAAAAAAATGAAAGAGCAGGGGAAAGGAACAGAAAAATTTCGGTGGATTAATTTGTAAAAATCAGTGTTTCCACTTTCCAAAATGAATATTTCCTTTTTTGTCCTGATTTTTGGGACTAAAGATAGTGATATGGGGAAAAGAATCAAATCAGAAAAGAAGGGGGGGGGGATGAAAGAATCGAAGATCATTGAAGAATACACACCCCTGGAATATGCTTTTGTCTGATTGTAAATTCACCTGAGTCTCATGGGAGTAAAGTGCTCACAGTTTGACTCTAACCAATGGTTTTCGCCAAGAACTCAGGTTTTCTCATGCAGAACACTGGTCCAATATGGAACAAGTAACAGTTTAGAATTGATATCCAACTACACACGCAAAAACACACACAAGTTGTAACAAACCTGAAGCAGACTTGTAGCAATGCTGTTCCAACAACTTGTCAACAGGATGTGTTCGCACTGCTTGTTCCCAGCTTGTTAACAAATTGTCAACGGCTTGTTGACAACTTGCTACGAGGTTGTTGAGCTCAACAGACTTGTTACAAGTTGTTCCGGCAACTTGTTATCGTCCTGCAATTCAACAATTTGTCAACAAGTTGTGAGTGACAACCTTGTAGCAACTTGATAAAATAACAGCATTGTTACAACTTGTTGACAACCTTGCTACAAGCCTGTTGCGAACACATCTTGTTGACAAGTTGTGAGATTTTTACTGTAAAGCTAGTTCGGTTGACTTTTTCAATATGATGCATTTATTTCCGTTCTTAGGTTGATGTCTTGAAGTCGTTAGTTTTCGTGGCGAACTCTACGAGTTCAATGAGCAAACCAAATTATATAGTCAACCATTGTCTTCGTCTGATCTCAGTGCTTATTGGCAGTGAAAAAGTTCCTGCTGAAAAAAGATCTATGATGGACACTGATCTCTTTGACTGGATGGTAAGTCTGATGGAGTGTTGATGACTGCCTTGAAACATATGCAGTTCGCATGTGGAAAGAATGCTTCCAGATTGACTCTATCAATAGACAATTCCCATTATAAACTATTTTTTTATCTTGGCAAAAAAGTATATTCGTGGAAAGAGCATACTAAAATTAGTAAAATTGCAAAGTTTGGTTGCTTAATGTTGTAAAATGCGGAAAATATAGCCTTGCAAATTTTGTATACTTTTGTATTGCGTGCGGAAATTGCTACCACATTTGGTCCGAAAATGGACCTCTAGGGAGAACAATTTAGAACTGATGGAGCTATCCAGTATTACCAAAGTTAGTTTAGTTTAGGTTTCCTCTTGTAGTAACACTGGGTCAATAAGAGATGATCCTTACTGGACCTCTAGGAAGAACAGTTTAGAACTGATAGAACTATCCAGTATAAAGTTAGTTTAGTTTAAGTTTCCTCCTGTAGTAACACTGGTCAATAAAAGATGATCCTCACTGGTCCTCTAGGAAGAACAATTTAGAACTGATAGAGCTTTCCTATATACATTTCCAGGTAAAAATGCGATTTTCTTTGCCAAGTATTGCCTGTCCAAAAGACTCGTCAGGATCAGTTGACGAAGATCGTTTTTCTTCTGTTGAACTGAATGGCTTCGTGTTTCATCTGGCTCTGGCAGCAAGCATCGTACAAATTCTTCTCACAACCTCTGAAGATATTCCTTCAGGTAATTGTCATTCATAATCACTATGTGAGGTACACTCGCAAAAATCTCACATCTATCAACAAGTTGTGTTCGCAGTGCTTGTCCCAAATTGTCAACAAGTTTGGAACAAGCTGTTAACAACTTGTAACAACCTTGTTGATATTATCAGATTTGTTGCAAGATTGTTCCAACAAATCCGATGCAGTCATGATATAACAATATTGTCACAACTTTGTGTCATCAACCTTGTAACATTCTTGTTATGTCATGACTGTATCAGACTTGTTAGAACAACCTTGTAACAAGTCTGATGATGCCATCAAGCTTGTTACAAGTTGTTAACAGCTTGTTCCAAACTTATTACAACAACTGGGAACAAGCAGTGCGAACACAACTTGTCGACACACGTAAAAATTCACAAGTTGTTACAGGTCTGCAAACAAGTTGTTACAAATCTGTTCACAAGCTGTCAACAAGTTGTGTTCGCACTGCTTGTTCCCAGTTTGTTGTAACAAGTTTGAAACAAGCTGTTAACAACTTGTAACAGGCTTGATGGCATTATCAGCCTTGTTACAAGACTGTGCTAACAAGTTTGTTACAGCCATGATATAACAAGGATGTTACAAGGTTGTCAACACAAGGTTGTAACAATCTTGTTATATCAAGCATGTAACGGACTTGTCAGAACAACCTTGCAACAAGTCTGATAATTTCGACAAGGTTGTTACAAGTTGTCAACAAGTTGTTCCAAACCTGTTGACAACTTGTGACAAGCAGTACGAATACATCTTGTTGATCGACGGCTTGTTGGCAGACTTGTTACAAGATGTGAGATTTTTACGTGTGTACAGCTTGTGAACAGATTTGTAACAACTTGTTTGCAGACCTGTAACAACTTGTGCGTTTTTGTGTGTGTTCAGCTGATCGAGTCGAAGGCTTCCTATGCCTTCCCAGCCAAGCTTGATGGCATTATCAGACTTGTTACAAGGTTGTTCTAACAAGTCTGACACAGTCATGATATAACAAGAATGTTACAAGGTGACGATACAATGTTGTAACAACATTGTTATATCATGACTGTATCAGACTTGTTGGAACAACCTTGCAACAAGTCTGATAATATCAACAAGGTTGTTACAAGTTGTTTAACAATTTGTTTCAAACTTGTTGACAACCGATGAATCACGCTACGAATATTAACATTTTGTAAACTCGAGATTCCAGCTATTTAAACAAGACAACAAAATTCAATATTTCGACGTCATTGTAAAACCTGACAGTCATTTTAACTCTGACAATCACTTTGAAATAAATTCGAAGTGTTACCCTGAATTTTGTTATCTTGTTTAAATACTGGAATCTTGAGTTTACAAGATGATAAGATTCAGAGTTAAGATTCAGAGTGTGTTTTATCGTATATTAAACGAAGAGATATTGACTTCTCTTAGATGAGATGGACGACTGCAGTGGGCCAGATTCGGATATTGCTGCCGAAATGGGAAATCTCTGGAAAACATTGCGTCAACTTTGCAAGTAAGTTCGACTAAAGTATTCAAAGTTTTACTGTTCTTGTTAAATGTGGCAAAAATAAGATAAATGTAGCAAATAACAACGAAACTCTTTAGAGCTCTCGACGCCTATGAACGGGGACCTCATTCACAAATAATTCTCTCCTTACAGTCCTGCTGCACAGACATCAAGTCATCCAAATCCTCAACGGCTGTTAGCACACATCAGAAACCGCTTGTTACCATTCCTCCGATGTTGCGCGATATTTTTTTACATCCTGAATAGCACCCGAGTTCCCTTGGCTCTGAGAGGTAAGATGAGGGGTACATAGGGTTAAATGGGTTCAATGAGTTGAACTCAGGGACGGATCTAGCCTGATCTGCAAGAAGGGTGCAGGTTTTCCATGGGGTGGTGCATTAGGGTGCCTTACTGCCCACTCTCCTCTGCAGTTTGCAACGCTACTATCCCAACATTACCATTATTTGAGATGGCCGAATCTGCATGTTCGACGTTTTACATTATCCTTTGTTTATAAAGTTTATATCGACTTTTTATATCTAATTATCTGAGTTAAGCATGGTTTGACCACATTAACTGTGGTTTGACCAATCTTAAAGTGATGGTTAGATCTTACAGATGTCCATGACTGTAAGCTATCTTAAAGTGATCTAATGTTGTACGGAACTCCTGAGCTAAGCATGGTTAGATCATACAGAGGTAGAACATGTCCTTGATTGTAAACTATCTTAAAGTGATCTGATGTTGTACCGAACTCACTGCTGAGTTGAGCATAGTTAGATCGTACAGAGGCCACACATATTCTTGAATGTGGGTGATCTGACGTTGTACAGAACACACTGCTGAGCTAAACATGGTTAGATCATACAAAGGTAGTATGAAAGGATAACCATCTAAGAATGCCATGTTTTGTCTTTACAGAGAATTTTGACTCTTTCGACAAAGAATATGAAGCTTTAGCGGAAAATTTAGCATTACCTCGAAATCTGACCGAAATATTTGGCTGGAGTGATTCACAGAATACATTTACAGATGAAATTGTGTCAAGAATTGTAAGAAGGTAAGAATACAGGCCTCAGCAGTTGCCTCAGAGCGTTATGCCGGAATCGTGTAATATACCATGTGATTCAAATTTACAGAAAACACACGTAAAAATCTCACATCTTGTAGCAAGTTTGCCAACAAGCCGTCAACAAGTTGTGTTCGCACTGTTTGTCCCAAGTTGTCAACAAATTTGGAACAAGCTGTTAACAACTTGCAACAACCTTGTTTATATTATCAGACTTGTTGCAAGGTTGTTCCAACAAGTCCGATATAGCCTTGTAACATTCTTGTTTATATATCATGATTGTATCAGACTTGTTAGAACAACCTTGTAACAAGTCAGATAATGCCATCAAGTTTGTTACAAGTTGTTAACAGCTTGTTCCAAACTTGTTACAACAACTGGGAACAAACAGTGCGAAGACAGCTTATAGACGACTTGTGAACAGATTTGTAACAGCTTGTTTGCAGACCTGTAACAACTTGTGCGTTTTTACGTGTGTACACCTGAAAACGCACATGTTGTAGCAAGGTTGTTGTCAAGCCAATATCAGGATGTGTTCGCACGGCTTGTTCCCTGTTATGGTAATAAGTCTGGGACAAGTTGTTATATCATCTTGTTACAAGGTTGATGGTGGTAACAGACTTTGCTGCAAGTTGGTCCAACAAGACTAATACAGGCTGTTCGTAACAAGTTGCTACAAGCTTGTTATCATCAACTTGTTATCATCAACTTGTTAACAACTTGTTACGGGCAGACGATATCAGACTTGTTGGAACAACTTGTTGCGAGTCTGTTTGCCTCATCAACCTTGTTACAAGATGATAACAACTTGTTCCAAATTTGTTGACAACTTGGAACAAACAGTGCGAACACAATTTGTTGACGGCTTGTTGGCAAACTTGCTACAAGATGTTTTATTTTACCCTCATAGTTCATGTGCATTTCTCAATCTTTTCTGTTGTAGATGGTGTACAAATGTAAATATTCCAGACTCGTCTCTGAATTCTTCGAGGTGCGTTTTATTGTCATTGATTGTGATTGTTCAGTGTTTGTGGTTCTACAAAGACTAAAGGCCCATTTACACGATACGATTAGTTGTATACGATTGTCATTTTGACGAATGAAAACGAGTGCTAATGCCACTTTTTTGCTCATTCGCTGATGGCGAAATTTCAAATGTGACGTTTGTACACGTGTTTATTCGATCACATACGCCAGAGTAAGAATCGTATACAACTAATCGTACCGTATAAATGGGCCTTAATACTGTTTTGTTGTGTTTTGAACAGTTCGATACTGTTACAAAGGTGCTTGATCAGCCTTCCACACGACTACAGCGAGTTAATCAGTCAGGCATCGCAATATGAGTAAGTATGATTTATTCTACCTTCGTTGATACATGATCGTACAACACAGCTTAATGAAGTTGAATATGTTGGAAAAGAGACAGATAGTTAAAATCGAACAACTGGCAACTAAGCAAGACAACAATAACTTGGAACACATTTTTGTGGCATATATTTTGGGCAGAGAAGTGCTCGAAAACAGTTCCGGCCGAACTGTCTAGAGGCTCTCGCTAACCTAAGTTTTATCTAGAGAAACAGGGGAATCTCTAGACTGCAGAGGGCATGCTTGGCTCTGTGCATGTCGTTCAGCGAGCTGAGACCTAGTTGGACTGGTGAACAACTATTGGTATAGGGCACATTACCCAGGGTACTCAAAGCTGGCTGAGGATACACGCAAAAACTGTAGGTTGTTCTAGAGGAACAGGCGGACCTCTAGATAACAGGCGAACCCCCGTTCAGATCCGTCAGGCCGTCGACATTGAGACCTAGTTGGACTGGTGAACAACTATTGGTATAGGGCACATTACCCCGGGCCGCAACAGATAACCTGACTGACCACATCGAGTCTCTAGGACTGCTCATTCAGGTCTTCAGTGCGACCTGAATGAGCAGTGATTGCGCTTCACGTGGTGAAGTGTTGTCCATCGGACAGCACTTCCCTGCCAGTATATAATTATTTATTGCATTTCTTCACATAAGTAGGTTACAAATCTATGAGTAACGTGCTAACTATATACAGGAATATTCATTTTTCTAATTAACTGTCCTTACAACACGCCATATTGTAGAGACGCAGATCGGTGTACATGATTTTTGGGAGGTGGGTGGGTTTTTTAAATTTCCACTTCTTTGCCAAGGTTTGGTCCCTTAAATTATTAGCCAAAAATTTTGCCAGAGATGTTAACGCACTGGCTAAAGTCTTGCGAATGAGCAGTGCACGTCGACATCAGGGCTCTCACTTCCAGCTACAGTAATTTCCTTAAATTTACACTGAAATTTCCTTAGAATTGAAAAAATTTCCTTAAAACCGGAAGTGGCAATAAAATTGGCGGGAAATCACAAAATATTGTTGTTTTCGATTTAGAAGTTTTTAGAAATATAAAAAGGCAGTTGACTTTGACGTTGAATTCATGTTAACTTGTTTTGTTTACGCGCAGGACACGCGTGTCCCAAGAGAAATAAATGTGTTATAACGATAGTGATTTGCTTTTCTGGAAAAAAATACAAAATAAAGTGTTGTTTGGATGTAATCTTTTACGAATGTAAGTGATTATGTAAAATATTATGAATGTCAAAGAATTTCCTTAAAATTTCCTTAAAAAATTCGTTTCCTTAAAAATTTCCCTAAACTGGTTCAAATTTCCTCAGTTTAAGGAAATTTCCTTAAAAGTGAGAACGCTGGTCGACATTGCGATCAAAAGTCCTTGCGCAAAGAGGGCGGGGCCATTGTACGTATGCACGTGAAGGAAAAAACCTTCAGGATAATTTCTGATTGGTTAATCCCAAGTTTGCATCAGTTGTTCACATGCTTAGCAGCCAAAGTTCGATATTTATCAGATATTTTGTAATATTAACAGGGCTAGAAAACGGTTCCCTTGTTCTGCCAAGGTACTTGGACCTTGTACGTACCTGGTACGGATTGATTGTTGTGACGCAGATGCGTTGGCAGACTGAAAACACCCTCGGGCAGATAGAGCCTTCAGAACATATTACTCCATTAACCGCAATTTATAGCTTTGCTTAAATTGATTATATATTGGTAAATGGAAAGAGCATCAAACTCGCACGCAGTTTTTAAGAACTATAAATGTAGCACAATGTATATATGAATGATTACTTCGGTTTGAGAGGAATTCGGCTACCTGAAAAATACAAGGCTCTTCAGATCAGCTAATCTGTCCTTAATTCTCACCTTATTCCTACTTGTTTCATTATAATTATTCCTTACATTTTTTAGAATTATTCCGTAGTTTCCTTCCCGTTTCCTTCGTATAAAATAATCTGTAATGTGATTTACATTTTTTGTTTACACTTCGTTTTGACCAATAGGCAATTCCAGCTTTTAAGTTATGCGCGCAGGGGGTGATGGGAAGTACGGTATCATGTTGCTGATTATGCTAAAAAATCTCAATAAAAACTGCCGAAACAACCGAATTATTTCAATATTTACAAGTATAAGCTATCACTCCGTGTTTACACGGCCACTATTTTTATTTTTCAGCATAGTCAGCAACATGATACCTTACTTCCCATCACCCCCTGCACGCATAAACTAAAAGCTGAAATTGCCTATTCCATTTGATTGGTTTATTTTATGACACGTGATCGCTTTTATATTCACTAGTGATCTATCTGAAACTATACACACTGAATCCCTGTCAATCCGAAGTTTTCTGGTGTTTATATTAGTGAGCTTACAGTCAATTTCAGCTGACTTTTCACCGTCAGATTCCGAACTTCGTTCCGAACTTCGCAAATTCGTTGCCAAGTTCAAAAGTTCATAATGAAATTCACAAACAGGTTTGTAAACAAAGCCTCTGATTGGCTATTAAATCAAATCAACCAATCAAATGCCCAGTTTACAAACCTGTTTGTCAATTTCATTATGAACTTTTGAACTTGGCAACGAATTTGCGAAGTTCGGAACGAAGTTCGGAACATTTGAGTGAAAAGTCAACTGAAATTGACTGGGACGTTTTTGTCAACGAAAGAAAGGGACGTTTTTGTCAACACGGACGTCACCCACAAATTGGTAGGACTAATTTTGGCGGCCAATTTGCATCATAACGCTCGTCTAAGGCTCTAAGCAAGCAAAAAACTTTAAAAATGTTACGTTTTGTCCTATGTGTTGAAGATTACCACAAACTGACAAAATCAAAGTTTTTAATCCAGTCCCCCTCGACGAACCGACGTCCGTGTTGACAAAAACGTCGCTATCTTATAAGCTCTCTAAAGGCACTACATGCGCTAGCACAGATCGTATACAGTAAGAATGGTCATGTTCAATCAGTTTCAGCTAGTTTAATCCCAATCTTAATGATTTACAGAACCACGAGGTTAATAGATTCCAATCGGAGTACATATTCCTCTAATTTCTTATTAGGCCTGTGTTATGAACAAAAACAAATATTAAATTACATGTTTACTTTCATTTGCAGCTACTACGGAACAACATGGATTTAAAAACTCTAGTATCAACGTTGCTAATTGTCGTGGCTTTGACCGAGGCAAAGCCAAATAGATCAGGTAAGTACTCAATAATTACTGTGTAATCCAGAAGCAATGTCATATACAACGGCCCTGCATTTACGAGCACATTCAAAAGAACATATTTAAAGCAACATAGTGTCAACGACCTGGGCATACCCATTTTTGCTCGACCATTTGTATACAAAGTGCGCACATCAAATAATTAGAATTTTGTATTTTAATAAGAAGAGGGGTTAATTTAATAAATTAATCAATAGTTTTAGGTGTCGTCCATAATTATCACGATTTTCACAAGCATGCGTACAGAGAGTACAATTCTTTTTCGAGTCCCTCCTCCTTCTATAACAGCGTGACGAATCTATACTTGCCCAAAAAGCATACGGTTTACGGTATTTCTGTTGACAAATTATACAGGAGCCCCTGTAGAACCGGCCAAAAGACATTTCTCTCGTATTAAAAAATCAAAATACCTGTAGGCATTTGCTATTGCATTGTTTATAAATGTTCTACCACTGGATATTAGTCTAATTATACCGTTGACATGTAAACATAAAACAAAGTAAAATGAAAGGAATGTAACCTATTATACTACTATATACGACTTTAATGTACATTGCTTGTACTCTGCTTTTATTTTAAAGGGTTCAGAAGAACTATGACAAGTTGTCAGAGTGACTGTCCATCTACATGCGCTCCAGCCTGCACACCCGTTTGTTGTTCTCGACCTGCACCTCCAGCTCCACCTGGCCCTCCAGGTATGGATGGTCCAATGGGACTTCCAGGTGCTCCTGGACCGAATGGTCCTAAAGGTCCACTTGGTCAAGCTGGCGCACCAGGTCCAGCTGGCCCTCCAGGCCCACCTGGCGCACCGGCAGGTCCACCTGGTAACGACGGACCACCCGGACCAATGGGCGCCCCTGGAAACCAAGGTCCACCAGGTGATCCAGGTCCACAAGGTCCAATGGGCCAACCTGGTCTTGCAGGTCCACCAGGCATGGCTTCACACTGTGCTCCAGTATGTGCTAAAACATGCGTGAAGGCTTGTCCGGCCCCATGCTGCCACGGAAAGTAAAGTCATATGATATGGATAATATGAACGCCGTTCCATGGTATAAAAGTAATTAACATAGCATGCAACATGACGAGTAGAATACTGGGTGTTATTATGTAACTATATTTGTGAAGCAAAAAGTAATACATTTTGGTTCTGTCAATGATGGTCACGTAGTGGTTTTCTAAGTAATATTAAAAACATAACTAGAAGCGTTAACTTTTATTACATTTAAAATGCGAGGGTGAAATCCGAATATTATACTGACATTCCTTGATATAGCCAGACAGCTGCTCGAAGAGAAAACGAACTGTGTCGAAGGGGTTTTGTCATTGAGCGCCAATATGACTGATCTATAAGAGCATGCATAGAGCTACAGTTCGCAATGCAATAAGAACGTCAGTAACATTGTATGTCTTCATTCCACCTTGTGGCGCTTTGTAATTAAGACTGTATAGTATGATAGTATCTTACAGTTCTTGAAAACTATGGCTTTTAACACTTCTCTCAAGAATTCTGTATCTGCACACATATAATGTATGGTCAGTGGCGAACGGAGGAAGAGCCCTTAGGCATATTTGGTGTGCGGGTCCCTGTTGACTGTAATAGACCTTTCCCCTTATAACCAAAATTTTGATCTAGGCAAGTCTAGACAAATATTTCATCACAGCTTGAAAGAGCATCACAAAATTAGTAATATTCCAAAGTTTCGTTGCGAAATGTTGTAAAATAGGAAAATAGAGCCTTGCGAAGTTTGCAATTTTCAGTCATTTTGCATTACAAACGGGAAATTGCAGCCCCAACACCCGAATCGTATGTCAATTTCCCGTTTGTAATACAAAATGACTGAAAAACGGCAAACTTCGCAAGGCTATATTATCCCCATTTTACAAGAGTTTGCAACAAAACTTTGGAATATTACTAATTTTGTGATGCTCTTTCAAGCTGTGATGAAATTTTTGTCTAGATCGAAATTTTAGTTATAAGGGGAAAGGTCCATTGACATTGTTTGAGATTTATTTATATTGAATATTTATAGAATGTTCTGGAAAATTCCGTGTCCATATAACAACAGTCTCCAACACATGTAACAACTAATAAGAATGACTTTTGTTTTGTTTGAGATGGAATAACAAAATCAGCTACCGTTGTCGATGCCATGGAGGCTTTATTATTTAGCATTATCAAGTTTGCATTATCCCATTGATTCTTAACCTGCACTTTCTACGTTTTCTAATTTTCTGGGCGTTAGGCCGTGGCTGATGGGGGCCCCTAACTGTCGGCGGCCCTTAGTTTTTTTTAACTATAACCCTGCCCAATGAACGTCACGCCACTGTCTATGGTAGCGGTACATATGGCCTTTGAGGGTCAACCATGGTTTACACGCGCCATTAAGGACTATCTTTAAATTCTCCGGAGCTGCAAGCCTTGCATGGTTTCAAAACTTCTAACTTTAATGGGATGCATTTGGTTTTCATTTTTGTTTCACTTTACTCAGTTTGACCTCATAATTATATACTTTTACTTTGGCTTAAAGTTTGGGTCGAATGTTTTAGGAACTACTATAGCTAATAGCGCACAATTTTATATAAAATGGTCTGGCTTTACCATTGTCAGCAGTTAACATAGAAAAGCAAACTTTATATTAAAGATTGCTGACGTCATACAATAAACTATGGCTAACCATTATCTTCCAGCCCTTCCGGTACAATTCCCGCGCTTTTCCGAAGATAGCTCCAAGCCTTAAAATATCGGTCGATCACGGACATTGTCCAGCCCATTCGTGAGATTGTCCGACGTAAAGAAGAAACCACCGGACATTCTGTCCGACCTACCTGTAAGTGAAACTGAGGTTTATCGTTTGTCCGACCCGAGTGCATTGCTGTCCAACCAAACTGTAGCTTTGTCCAACGTAAATCAAAATTAACCTAGTCCAGGACTAGAGGCTTGTATGTTAAATGGAGAATCAGACTAGTGTATAAAAAGTGAACTGGAAATGTTGTTTTAATGTAATCAAGGGCGGGGCGGCGAGCGAAGTAGAAAAGGCTTAAGTTGTGGAATTGTTACTGCTGTTCTTGGCAAGCAAGTTAATTTTGGCTTGGAAATAAATATGAATGACACAAATTATTTAATATCTCCACAACATTTGCCTTTGAGAATTAATACATTGTGCTGATATTAATTTGTTATTTCCGAGCCACACTGAACTGAAGGTAATCGGACATCATAACACATATGTCCGACCCAAACTCAAAGTCATCGGACATTTTGTCAGACGGCCCTGTAAAAAATATTTTAAGGTCTGTAGCTCATGAGTCTCTTAGTCTCATGAGTCTCTCTTTTATTTTACAAAGCTATGCCCACGATTGTTATATGGTCAATATTTTGAACAATTTAATTAATAATAATAACTAAATACAAAACATAAAAACTTCTTGAATCCTTTGGTGTTTGGTATTTTACATGTTTGTTTGGACCAGCGATTCAACTCTAATAGTTTAAACGTAAAATAGTTTAATCTAGGCGTCTTATTAAATTAAATTATACTTTTATCACATATATTTTAACAAAATTTTCAATAGACAATATATAAAATAAATCTGTACATTTATGACAATTGTTCTGAAGAACAACTATATGCGCTTTATAGCAAACAAAGCAACAAGATCGACTATTTCGACTATTCGACTTTTTCCATGCGTATGAAATGTACTGAGCTTTTTGTGTTGTGAATTTCCTATATTATAGCTGGTGAGATTGAAGCGGCCTTCCCAAAAAATATAATAGATAATATATAAATAAAGATTGCTTCAACATATGGGATGTAATTTCTATAGGAATGATTTTGGCATTCATACATAAGAAATGAAAATCCTTAATTGCATAAAAAATATCATGTAACTGCTTGTTTATTGGTTGTATGATAAATTATGAATCCTACTTTTGCATACTCACACCTTCCAAAACGCGCTAATTTTTACTCGATAATTTCCAGCATTTCCAAATACTTTTGAATAAATTAATTTCTACTCCATGGCAGGTTTATTTGTGTGGAAGAGTACAACTAATGAAATAATTGAATGTACTGCTCAAGCAATCAAACAGACGCAAACAATAAATGGTTTGAAAAAATGACTAATATGCCTTACTTGCTCGTTTTAATGTACATCTCCGCTGTGTTCACGAGATCAGACGACTTCTGAAGAAATCTTAATCGTTCTGTGGAGAACTAGCTTGGACCAGAAAAGGAATCAGGGTGCTTCTTATATAGCAACACTGCGCGACGTTGTGTAGATTCTATCTTCGGTTCATATATTTTGCAATCTACACAATTTTTGCTACAGTTCTCCAAATGCCAATTCGTCTTGACTATCTTCATCGCTTGTCAGAAAAGACATACAGTCAAATGAAGTCTCGTCAAATTCCTGTTGTTCTTCTAGTGTAATATCCACCCCATCCGACATGAACGATGCAAACCTGGAAATTGTAAAGTTTGATCAACATGGACGAAAAAAGGCAACCAGCATTAATACGCATCTTTAATTAACTAAAGCGATCATTTACTTACATTTTATTCTTTCAACTATAGCAATGTGCAAAACATACTCGACGAGCACGCATGTGCATGTATACAGACACAATAGCTGTCACGAGAGGTTTAACTATACTCGAAATACCTATCACAATTAACAAGGCGGAATTTCGTTCTCGACCAATCACCGCATTTTTGTTGACAATTTCGCTTTTTAGCCAATCACAATGCGTAATTGGGTATTGTAGGTAGTTTCCCTGCGAGCACAGAAAGCCCAGTTCCGTTAAAAACGTACCCGCTGTTCGAATGCTCATAACTTTAATTAGGGTAAACACGAGCCGTCACCTTATTAATATGCAGAAACGCGCAATAGGCGTACTAAGAGGCCTAGGGACTAGGCTGCGCATTACCCTACGTAATCAATTAAACATCATAATCTACATTAGGAAAGTATAAAAATACCTTTTCGGAGACTTTAATCTGGACACAGTTCTCCAAGTGTTGCATTCAGGACTTTCACAATATTCTCGCAACGCTTTGAGTGCCTTGGCAGTCTCTTCAACTCCCTCTTTTTCATACTCTTCTGCAGTGATGAAACGTGGTCCGCGAAAGTAAGATTGAACACGATACGGAATCCTACAGTTAAAAGGCAATACTGTAAAACTGCACGTTTTCTTGTCTCCCATTTTTCTTGGGATAGGTTATAAAGGTTATGTGGAAATACATTTAGAATTAGATGCTTGTGTTTGCTTGTGGTGTTACTCTGAGTGTATATCCACACCGGACAGGCTTGAAAAATATGCCTGGCCACCGTGGGAATCGAACCTACGACCTTCGGAATACTAGCCAAATGCTCTGCCAACTGAGCTCCGCGGTCAGGTCGGTTCGAGTACGTGATATTTCGGAACTGAGTCTAGAACAAATATCATGGTTATTAGATTACACTGATATCGAAGGAACTAGACTCAGTTCCGAAATATCACATACTCGAACCGACCTGACCGCGTAGCTCAGTTCGCAGAGCATTGGGCTAGTATATTCCGAAGGTCGTAGGTTCGATTCCCACCGTGGCCAGGCATATTTCTTAAGCCTGTCCGGTGTGGATATACACTCACGAGTAACACCACAAGCATCTTATTCACCTGAGTACATTACACCAACACAACAAATATCACATTTAGAATTAACGATGACTTCATATTTCACGTATTATTAGTAATAGACTCCCATTTTCCCGGTCAACTTCTAAGTGAGTGTATATAATTACGTACAATGCTGTCCATCAACTTAAATTTGATTCGCGCACATAGGTGACGTACGTTATTTGATTTATAGCTTAGTAATACTACTTTGTGATTAACAAGGCCGTATTTTAGTGGAAATGGTGGGGGAGGTGGAAAACAATTTAGGGGAAGTGCAGCGGTCCAGCTGATGGCCCTCATGGAATATGACAGCCTATAACGCACACCCGTAAGGTCACCTACATGACGCATGCATGAAAAGAAATTTGGCTTATGGCATGTATTGAATTTCCATCGTTAGTTGGCTTGTTATGCAGTTGCTAGGAAAACTAAAACTGAAAAGTCAGATACGAACAATTTATAACAAGATCCTGCAGGTCTTGCGGAAATCATGTGTTGTCGCTCATGCAACGAAGGACTGCCGAAGGGCTAATTTAAGATGTCATCAGTTGCACAAAAAATTGCCATATTCGCATGCATTCATTGTATAGCATCGCGGGCTCACAAGAATTTTCGCGCGCTTCTGTCTTGCTTTACTTTGACGTAGTTGTAACAAGTTGAGGTTTAAATTGTGGCTTATGCAGTTTCGGCCTTCAGCCTTTTCTTCATCAATTAAATTATTTTATCAATAACTCATAACCTTTCTCGACTATATCTTGAAATCATTCAGGGTACCGCCTCATTAATATTCAAAACATGTTATTATGTAGAATCTACACATGCTCAGTTAGGCCAGAATGATCTGGCATAGAGATACATTTTTAGCCGTGCCGGAGAAAGGTGATCGAAAACTTGTAAATATACCAAGCATTTGGTCAGCAAACGTGGTTGCGTATAATGCCTCTACCTGTTAGTCAAATTAACAAAACAAAGACCTTCACTATAGCTGCATGTTATATGATACTATGTTACTGATACTAATTATGTTCAAAACCTACCATCCTCTTGTTAGAATATAATGAGGAATTGCAGGCAATGATATCCATTTTGTGGCAATCAGGATCAATACAAAGGCCAAGGAAATCTTTTCACAACGTATACTGTAGTAAACCATAAACAAAGCCACAGACTGCAGAGACCATCTCATGATATCCAAGCCACGAGCGCTCTCAATTGGTCCACGGTAGTAGCAATATAGGAAGCTGATAATACCTACGTTTGAAAGACATAAAGTAGCTTATAGAAAAATTAAGAAATAATGATCATGATTATGTCTATATTATCATTGTATACAATGGTATGTCTTGTCGGATGATGTTTTCAGAGTGAGGTCTAGATTAGTAAATGCCTGTAAATGGTTTTTGTGCGGAGGCAGCCAATCTTTGAATGGAGGTAGGTATGTGGTTTGGAGACAATCAAAAGAAGAAGCCTCCTCCACAGGTCCTATGACTCATGGGAAGCATGAGAGGGCCTGCGGAATATTCTAAACAAAATGGCATCATACACTCTTGCCTACGCCATATTTTGTCAGCATGCGTATAGCATTTTAAAGCAATTTTGAACCCTCAAGGTTTATTGGAGGCCCTACAACTAGTGCAAAAGTTTACGATAAAGGCTTAAAAGTTCAAATAAATTTATATTTTTAGGCTCTTTTTCGAGTTGATGACCATTTACTACAAGTTTATATGATAGCTGTAGGCTCCACTCCACGGAAACGGTTTTGGAATTGACTAGACCTGTATAACGATCGCTGATAGAAGGGGTGGACGAAAGGTAGATTTTCAACATGGCGGCTATTTTTCAAGATCCTTAGAAAGTAAAAGAATAAACAATCATGCACTTAAAACCATGGCAAAACATTGCTGTCCCAATACGGCAATTGCCGAAATAATATTTCAGCACGGTCCCAGCGCCACCAAGTCACAACTGCGCTCTGTTGGGCGCTTTGAGCTTACATTTTTGCTTTATTAAAGGGAAAAAAGCTAACCTCGACAGGATAATCTTATACCAACAACAAAAAAATTAACACCAAAAGCCACCAAAAAACAGTTCTGTAGTGCTGCAAACACGAATATGTTCTTAATTAGCCTCACCTGCAAACATAAAGTAAGCATAAAATATCTTGATGTCTGCGAACTCTCCTTTGACGATCTGATCTTTGATAAATCGAAAGAAATAAAGGGCGACACTGGAGCCACAAAACATGAACGCATAACCAACGCCTCTCTGAAGAAAAAGAAACAATTGTTATAGGTACAAATGCATGCAACATGTATGTGCTGAGAGCCGACAAAATGTAAACTAAAGTCTTCAAAGAATCAGGCTCATCTGAGACAAGGGTGCAATTTGTAAGACATGAAATGCGCCTCATTTCCAAACTTGGCACTGTCCACCCCTATGGCATTAATGAACGTTTTCCCTATGTTTAACTCTATCTGTCTTTGCCTGTCAAAAGCAGAAATTGGCAGAACTTTTAATTCTTATAATGGCAGAACTTTTAATTCATAATTTTTGCATAGAATTTTAAAAGTTTGTACGTTGTGGAGGGCGGGGTCTGGTGAATAGAAACAAAAATATTATGTTGCCAATATACGCAGCCCAAAGATCCTATAAATATGCATTGCAAAGCATAATCTCGAACGGAGACAGTCGCGGATTGAGAGAGATAGAACTACATGAAAAATATATATGCACAACTTCGACGTTTCGAGCGAAGGCCCAACCTCGTACCCAGGCTCTTACCTGGCGAAGGCCCTGCCTCGGGAAGTCAGTAGCCAATAACTAACTTCCCGAAGAACATGCAACAAAAATGCGAATTTGTCGAAAAAAGGAAAAACTCATCGACCTTAACTTACAATATTGTCGACAGAAGATTGCACATGCAGGAGAGAAGTAATTTGTATAGGTAATAATGCGATGGCGAGTACAATTAGGGATTAATAGCACTATGATTACTTGTTTATTATTAGCATCACAAAATTGGATACTTCTGAATGTCAACATCATATTCTCTCGGCAAAGTCCAGTCTTGCCATACTTTCAACCAAAATTTTGTGCTTTTGTTCGTATTTTCATTTAGTACTTTTGTTAAAGCAAAATTATGTGCTTTTGTTCGTCTTTTCATATAGTTCCACCAGGGCAATTTCATTTCACATTTGTGTTTAAAATACCTTTCCGCCATTTTGTTTGTTTTGGGAAAATCATTAATTGTACTGCAGTACAATTAATGAAATAATTGTACTCCTCTCAACCAATCAGCATCTAGTAATTTCGTCATGCTAATAATAAAATATGTAAAATGCATAAACGTACAATTATCTCCTCGTTTTGTTTACTATTGTTTGCTATTGTGTGGTAATAAAATATTTCAACAATAAGTGTCGTCAAACATATGCCATACGATTTACCAACAATCAGAAGTATTTAAATAAACTCTATTTATGCCTATATTAAACTTCCATCGTCGCACGTAATGTTAGCCGTAAAAAAAACATATGGTACTTGGTTGCATGAAAACAAACAAGTACCATACCGTGATATAGGAATTCCAGGTGGACTGAAATTATGCTTTCATGCACGTACCTGTGGTATAAACTTTGAAACAACAAACAAGAGAAGGAAAACGGCCATAATCATTCCAAGTGAAATACCAGCTGTGTAGTAAAACAAAATACTCCTGCAACAAATATGTGATAAGTAGTTTACATGTTTATTCTTGGGTTTCATATGACGTCACAAAAGTGACGGGGGTCAACTCTAAAACAAAACACAGTAATCAGAGTGAGTCGTGTGTTTGTTTTATGTATTAGCCTTGTGTTTGGTGCAGATACATGGAATTTCGTATCATTTTCTCACTCCAGTACAGAATAAGCATCAATACATTTGAGGTTGACCCCCCGTCAGATTCCCTGCATAATGCCGTAGTGAAACCCAAGAATTATTTATGCAATAAATATTTATGAGAAGCATTTTCAAAGACTAAAAATTAAAATGTCTTACAAAAGGCTAACGCATGGGGGTCTTCGTATTATTTAACGGAATCATGCAATACGTTCATGTATGGAGACTTTCATACCAGCCTTGTAAATTGTTGCTGAGATTACATTCCGTGCATGCATATTAAAGATTGTCATATTTTGCGTTCGTGATAATGTGGAAATTCTTTTTTTACGTTTATTACTATACAAAACGTTGGGTCTATATGAGGACTAACATATGTCAAGTTGGCATGAATTCATAATTCAGTAGTAAAGTAGCCAACCATATTGCTTTATTTTGATCACATGATGATACTGGATACCTGGTGAAGTATAATGACCGTCTAAGGACTGGAGCAGAATTAATGGACCTTTCCCCTTATAACTAAAATTTTGATCTAGGCAAAACTTTCATCACAGCTTGAAAGAGCATCACAAAATTAGTAATATTCCAAAGTTTCGTTGCGAAATGTTGTAAAATGCGGATAATATAGCCTTGCGAAGTTTGCCGTTTTTCAGTCATTTTGTATTACGCATGGGAAATTGACAGCCCAATCGGGTGTTGGGGCATCGATTTCCCGTTTGTAATACAAAATGACTGAAAATTGCAAACTTCGCAAGGCTATATTATCCGCATTTTACAACATTTCGCAACGAAACTTTAGAATATTACTAATTTTGTGATGCTCTTTGAAGATGTGATGAAATTTTTGTCTAGACTTGTCTAGATCAAAATTTTAGTTATAAGGGGAAAGGTCCATTGACCTTACGTTAACCCATTGAGCACCATTTTACTCTGTCTGGCGTTAGACAGAGTAAAATAATAACCTCAGTAGGGCGCAATTTAACTTAATATGACACATGGACAGATAATCTGATTAACTTTTTGAAGGCAACGATTTACGCATGAACTCAGGGTTTGCCTCCAACTGGAATAAACTGCTCGCACTTTAAATCCTACCCAGTCCTAATTTTCGGATTTAAGAAATTACATATTGGGATTTCTGCATGGGTGAATTTCTATATATACTATAACATCCCTTATAATTATAAGTAACTATAACATCCAATATAATCTAGTTAAAACGTTTTGCATTTAACCAATTCTGTTCCTTGCATCTTAATCCCAACTCCATAACGTAACCCTCTGATCTCAATTTGGTTCTTGGGACGCCCTTTGATAATAAATACTTAAATGGACCTGGTATACTGAAGCCATTCGATAAGTTTTTCCCCGTGATTGGAGTCATCAAACGTATAATGCGGATAAACTTAGTGGCGATCTTTATATATGGCGTTTGCGAATTTTTCGCTTCTTGTATACCTTATAATAAATCAGATTAAAATCAATGTAAAACATGTGGATATTTATACCTGCCAACTTCATCAGCGGTGTAGAACAAAACCATTCCCAGAATCATTGCGACAGGATAGAAGAGTTTCAATTTATGAAAAATAACTATGAAGCAACAAAAAGCAAGAAAAACAATTGAAAATTTACCACTGACAAATCAAACTTAGCAGACACAAAAATAGGTATATGCATGCATACACACTGTCTATTTATATTATATATTTTGTATATCGTAATAAACAGTGCAATAAAAAGGATTTATCAATTTAAAAAAATATACGCATAAACCAGTACATATAGTTATAATTTCACGCATGCAGGTACTCTTTTTACGCATTTCATTCATATTTTGAGTAATAGCCCTTTTTTATATATCTTCTAACAATACTGGGTATAAAAGTCTATAACATTATAGCTATATCTTTCTTCGCGATAAATTTAGGTGATCACAAAAGAACAATTATTTTTTCGAGAGGTGCAACCTCAAACAAGAAATTGCAGCTTCGCTGTATAATTACAGTACCTTCGCCTTCGGCTTTACATGGATATGAATCGACGGATATTGCAAAACAATTGTTTCCATAGGGAGATACTGACAGTGTCGTCCTTTGTTCATCGCTACGAGGTGTAAACAACCCGGCATACCAAGAATTGCTCTGATTTTTGAACTTCTCATAAACTTTATCGCAACTAAAAGGTGACAAAAACGGCATGATGTTGACATACTTTTCAAAAAATCGTATTTACATGTACAATAACAATAAATATTATACCTCAACTTCAAATTGTCCAATCAGAAAGGTCAATTTGTTGCACGTGAGCATGAATTAATCGCGATATCACGCCTTACGTCATTAATTAGCGAGCCTGCGTTTCTTTTGACAATGTTCCACCCCATGTTCCCCGGGGAACATGGGGTTGCACATTATTCGCGTAGACCACGTAACATTACATTAACAACAAAACATGACATTAACAACAAAATGGCCGACAAAATAATGGCAAGGAATAATTAAACTTTAAAGCAAAATTTGAAAAATGTTGTCATTAATATTCCAAACGATATGTGATTACTCGACGCATATATCATCACGTCGGGTAATATTTCGCCGTATCCCCTCGCTCCAAGTCTATAAATGATAATTTACATGGTAGTCACTATGTGTCTTCTGATTGGCCAGGAGCTTACATCTGAATAGGGAAATCACATAACACAGTTATTTGCTAACTGAGTTATGTGTAGGTTGAGCCCGTGGTAGGTAATTTTATAGCAAGCGGCAGTTTAAATACACGACAACAACAGAGCGAACTTTTGTCTACGCAGAAACGCAAGCGTGCAATACACGTACGTGAGCGCGATATCATCGCGTGACTGAATTCTAAAAACAAACAATAGGATTTGCAAATTTGCGATACTCATCTAAGAAGGCGTTTTCTTGTTTTGTTATTGTTTGTATTCTCACAATTTTATGCTTTATGAACAAAATATCAATTAGCTTTTAAAATCAACCTGAAAAGAGAGTGTTGAAAAAGGCAGATTCTTTGCTAACTGAGATTCGGTACAAGGTGATGTCATTTTTGCATACAAACAGTGGTGTAAGATGAATTCAAAATCCTTTTACTGAAAGAAACTTCGGTAATTGCTAGTTATTTTGTAACAAACAACTAAGTTAGAATACAAAGAACCCATTCCACAACATAAACAAGAAATCGGTCGACAAATTGCTACGAAACGAGACAGCAAAAATAGGGTCCCGAAACTGTCGATTTTACTGATGTGCCAAGTTGCTCTGCCAAGATCACCTTCATGGGCAATTTTCACAAAGTCAAGCACCACGTTTTTACTATAATCATGTATATATTTCAATATACGATTAGATAGATTTTTAGAAAAATGTAAACGTTTGCCAACAAAATTTTTGCCTTATTTATATGCACTCCGCGGTGCCTTTCGTAATACAATTTTGTGCGGAAAACTGAGCAGATACACCACAACGACATACATATAGCCTACGTAGCTTAAATAATAAAAAAGTTTAGTTTCCTTAATAGGAGCATAAACGTTGATTAAAGCCGAGTAAAGCCCTTGTTCCCTAACATAAACAAGGAATCAATTTCAAGGGTTTTATGCAAATAGCTGAGCGAATAGGCCCTTTCAAGGTTTATTCCGCCATATTGCCGGGGGTGCAAAACATTGGGGCGAGCGCGCGGCCAAGCCATGGCTGCCATATATTTTACTAATGAGTGAGCGATAATTTTGTGTGGACATTTTGTTGATTTTCTCATGCTATATTAAAAAATAGTCCAAACTTTTGTATTTTGGCTGATCTGTGTGTATTTTCAAACTACTGGTAAAGATTTCAATGGAATCTGATTGGGGGAAATCCGTGAATATGCTGATTTCTTCGACACCTTTCGGCGAGCTGTTTACAGTGGATTCACGACAACGAAACGCCGAAAACAGGGCTTTTACGTCTCTGTTTGTTTAAACAAAACAACATTACAAAAGAATCATGTTTAAAAACAATACAACAAAGCCGTCGGGAAAGAAGAAAGACGTCCAGGTGCGAGAATGTAACCTGATACCAATGTCAATCTCACCTTTATACTGACATAGATATAAGAGATAAACTTGTTTATATTTTATGTTCTCATAGTAGATTATATTGCAAATAGTCATTTTACTTTGGCTGTTTATGGCTACCAAGGAGAAGCTTGAATACGAGGATTTCGTTGGGTTGACAGAGTGGGAAAAAGGTTGAACTTGTGGCAAGAGCATTTAAAGAAGGAATACCAACAAAGGCTACAAACTAATGATATTATTAAGAGCGATCCTAACAGTGCGATGAATATTGGAAAGATGACATTCAAACATGGCCACATCTTGATGATGGAATGCTAGGCCCTTACATTCTACGAGTAAAGGCAGTGGATGTTGAATATATTGGCAAATACAAAGATGACAGGGTTTACTCATATTGGATGAGTGGATTTGTTGATATAATTCATGTTGCCAAAAGCCCATTGACAAGACCATGACATTTTTTTGTAAAGCTCAGTATGTCGACCACAAAGGATTTGTGATGACTCACATATAAAAGTGTGGATGTGTGTCCTTGAACAACTGGAACAGTTGAGGCATGTAATCATGTACTTGTAGTCCTCTATATGTATAAGATCAACTATGCTTACAACAAGTAATATATTTCCCCAGCCTGTGTGCCTATACCAGTGTTCTCCAAGGATGGAACAAAGGAACATGAAAAGAAGTAAATCCAAGCAAGGTTAAAAATTTAATATTTAGACCAAAACCCTGGCTGCGATTAAACATTGAGGAAAGAATTTGACCCCAGAAAACCTGAGGACAGAAATATTACCAATGAAAGAGTTTCTTTATGTACAGTTCCATAGAAAATATTTACATATTTTTCCTTATATTAATTTAGACTAAAGACCTACTAGATACTTTGTCAGGCTTTTTGCTTTAGGCCCCTAGTAAAGCTTTATAATTAACTGTTAGATTTATAATATATTATTTTATTTTACAGTCAAATCAGAGAGAGAAATTTCAGAGTAATAGAGGAACAATAATATGCAAATAGAATAATATGCAAATAGAATGTTTTCATAACAAAATGCTGTTTAATTTGTTTTTGAGATGTATTGAGAGTTTATGTTTTTATTTTTTATTCTAGTGAATTCCATACATCAACTCCATTATTAGAGAGAATATGTTTTACATAATTTGTTCTTTTATACCACTTGTAAAGTTTTGATGAGTTTCTTGTGCTATGTTGATGAATTTGATTGATAGTCACAAAAATTTATCAAATACTGCAGGCAGGTTTTTAAGATTATTGAACAGCATTGCCATTGTAGATACTGTTCCGTCTGCTTGTGTTTTGCTCTCAGTTGGCTACGGGGGTGGTATACGTCCTATGAGAACAACTGAAACTCTCAATATCTCTCAATATTATATTCCCTTTGGATTCGCCTACTTTTAGAAGTTTATCTCTTATATCCAATTACTTATAGAATGTCATATAATTAAAGGTGAGATTGACATTGGTATCAGGTTACATTCTCGCACGTGGACGTCTTTCTTCTTTCCCGACAGCTTTGTTGTATTGTTTTTAAACATGATTCTTTTGTAATGTTGTTTTGTTTAAACAAACAGAGACGTAAAAGCCCTGTTTTCGGCGTTTTGTTGTCGCGAATCCACTGTAAACAGCTCGCCGAAAGGTGTCGAAGAAATCAGCATATTCACGGATTTCCCCCATTCAGATTCCATTGAAATCTTTACCAGTAGTTTGAAAATACACACAGATCAGCCAAAATACAAAAGGTTGGACTATCTTTTAATATAGCATGAGAAAATCAACAAAATGTCCACACAAAATTATCGCTCACTCACTAGTAAAATATAAGGCAGCCATGCATGGCTTGGCCGCGCGCTCGCCCCAATGTTTTGTACCCCCGGCAATATGGCGGAATAAACCTTGAAAGGGCCTATTAGTACCCTCGACCCGGGCTAATGCCCGGAACGGCGCCACCGTTGGCTCGGGGATTAATATAACAAAGAAAAAGATTTTTCTATACGTATTTATGTACTTGTGATGAGACAGAACAAATAATTCTTAATCAATTCGACGTACAATTGTGTAAAGCAACACTAAACACAATATCAAACACATTTGCTGCAAACTTTGTATAGTATATTTAACAATTATACCACGAGCTCGAGTCGTATATGAGCGGATAGCCGACGAGGTGCATAGCACCGAGTCGACTATCAGCCATATACGACCAGAGCGAATGGTATAATTGTTTTATAATATAGTCTAATAGCCATTAACTGAAGCGATAATTAATTATCCTCTGTTACAATGTCTTGACAATTTGTTCGGCCAAAAACCGCTTGGCCTTGAAAATTTGAAATACTTTTGTTTTACAACTCGAAGACGAAGTGAAAGAAATGGTTTTAGAACCGGTATATCTCACAGAAAAGCTCATATATATATATATATATATATATATATATATATATATATATATATATATATATATATATATATATATATATATATATATATATATATATATATATATATATATATATATATATATATATATATATACAGCTAATTCAATAAAGGTTGTCCTTCGCAAACCTTAAACTTTAAAACCTTAAACCTTAAACCCTAAGCGGGCAAAGCATGATGGGAGCACTGATTTCAAGCTTAGTAGTTGATTATTGCAGCTATATATATATATATATATATATATATATATATATATATATATATATATATATATATATATATATATATATATATATATATATATATATATATATATATATATATATATATATATATATATATATATATATATATATATATACACACACACACACACACACACACAGATGTTTGGTAGTATAGTATATAAGTGCTTGTTGACTGCAAATTCATTTGTCTTTAATTCGTTGCAAACTTTTCTGAACAATTTATATTCTCAATGAACATGTTTTTTCGCTGTTGTTTCGGTATTAATTCTTTAAAAAACTTGTATTTAAACTAATTTCTATGTAATAAATGTATTTTGCTAACCTGTCAAATTTTTTTGAGAGCTTTTCCTTGTACTATGGCGTTCCGTTCCGGTCAAAATGATTTCAAGTCAATAAGTAATATTCAAACATCATATAAACATC